ATTCAGCGTTCTCGCGCTCTCGGTTACCACCTACGGCCTTGTGAAAATTTTGACGGATAAACTATTGAATCACGGAAAGATATTCATCCTTCAAGGTTTCGAATTCAGCTTTCATACGCTGGTGCGTGAAATTCTCACGAAAAGATATTCATCCTTCAAGGTTTCGAATTCAGTTTTCATACGCTGGTGCGTGAAATTTTTGTCTGGTCTTCTTTATACTCCTTCAAGGTTTCGAAATCAGCTTTCATACGCTGGTGCGTGAAATTTTTAACTGTTTTTCAATGTTAGAACTATTTTTGCATAGACTAAAGTACAAAGCAGTGAAAATCATTAATAGGCAATCGTTCGATGGGTATTTTTGCATAGACTAAAGTACAAGGAAGTGAAAATCATTAACAGGCAATCGTTCGATGGGCTGAATTGCACAAAACGCATAATCGCACCGGCTAGCCCGGTGCGCGTTGCCATTTATTTTTTTTTTTGCGCGCGTTTTGTGCTGTGCAACAGCTGCATAAAATGCATATTGTCACGGGATTGTCTATGTGTTTGTGTGTGTGTGTGTGTGTGTGTGTGTGTGTGTGTGTCCGATGCATCTTGTCCGCAACTTTCAACTCGGGAACCAAAAAAGCTAAGAAGCTGAAGATTTAGGATAATGTTCCCTGTCCACGTTTGACCTAGCAAATTTAATTTTAGCCTTCTGCCCTCTGGTACAGTGCACGGCCCCGTGAAATGTGAAAGCTAGGGAGCTAAAATTTTAGGATAATGGCCCCCTACCCACGTGCGACCCCTCAAATTTAAATTCAGACTCCCCCTACCCTTAGGTACCATGTACGACCCCATGAAAGTTTTGCCAGAGAAAATTATTATCTCAGGAACTATGAAAGCCAGGAAGCTGAAATTTGAAATTAATGTACCCTGCTCTAAATACAACTCCGCTGATTTAAACTCAGCTTTCCCGCCTTTCCTAGTATCGCGTGCGGCTCCGTGGAAGTTTTGGCAGGGAAATTTGTCGCCTCGGGAGCCGCGAAACTTAGGAATCTGAAATTTTAAGATAATGGCCCCGCCCATGTACGGCCTCGTGAATTTAAATTCAGCCTTTCCGCGCACCCGAGTATCACGTGCGACTCCGTAAAAATTTTGGCGGGAAAATTATTATCTCACGAATCACAAGAGCTAGGGAGCTGAGATTTTACAGTAACGTCCTCTGCCCCAAGTATAACTCCGCGACTTTAAGCCTTCCATTAGTTGTGGGTGCCACATGCGGCTTCGTGAAAGTTTTAGCGGGGAAAATATCTTGGAAACTGCGAAGGCTTGGAGTCCGGAATTTTAGGGTACTGTCCCTGTACCCACATACGACCGCGCAGGTTCAGATTCGGCTTTCGCGTATTCCTGGATCTCTACTTCCCCATGAATGTTTTGGCTGGAAAATTATTGCTCAAAAACCAGAGGAGTTAGGAGGCTGAAAATTTCGGAGGATGTTTTCTGCCTATGTAGGGGCCACGCAAAGTCAAATTTAGTTCTTAAGCGTGCCGACGTCTCACGTCCACGTGAAAGTTCTGACACGAAATTCACTCAAAGCCAGGAAATTAGGAGTTTGATTCTGGAAGGATGTTCACTGTCCAAGGATTTAGTGGGAAATTTCGCAGTTTAGAACCAGACAGCATTTCAGCCATTTTTACACAGACCAAAACGCAAAGCAGTGCAAATTCTTAGCAGGCAGAAGTTCGCTGGACGAAACTGCGCAAAACTCATGATCGCACCAGCTACCCTCTATTTACTTTTTTTTTTTTCATATTTATTTGCAGAAATGGCATACTGTGTCCGTAATCCAATTTATAATGCAACGTTTCGGGAGTTTCCAACGCATGGACTGGTCAGTCGTGTGCGGTTACGGTCGCGTTGCTACGATGCTCATCTGGTTATCGATGGTCGACTCGCCTATAAGTTCAACGATGGCGCCGAAGTTGTTCTTGAGGTATTTTTTCGTTTTCTGCAGAAGCTACAATGGCTTCAGACCAGTACCCTTTACAAAGCCTATGCTATTGAAAATATTTTTTACTTAGTTATGTGGTTTTCATAGTTTTTCACGTGTATTCCCCGGACAGCAAAGGCACCTGAAAATGAATCGAATGAAAGCAGTTTTCCAGCAGAAGCCATCTGCTGGAAGAACTGTCATTAGCTGTTTCTTCTGAGGGCTATTTCAAAAGCAGAGTTGCGGCAGTTCTGACCTCCCGGCATAGGCCAGCATTGTTCTGTTATCGAGATGAAATATATAGTCGCAATTAAAAAACCACTCACCAGCTTGTGTCTAAGAGTAAGCACCACTTAAGTAAAATTGGTCAGACGATCACGGATTTAAAAGCAAATATTCGGACACTTTGATCTGGCGTTGCTTTATCTTAGTGCTCATTTGAAAGTAATTGACAGCTTCTCCATTCTCTGCTAGTTTTCTCTTACTGATATAGTTTCATTCAGCCGAAACAGACGGATCTTTCCATCGCTTTGGCAGCATTCCTTGTGGT